TGCAAACTATTATAGGCAGAAACGTTAATTTACAATATGTTTAACTTATTAATATGAAGGATTTCAATAATATTATGCACAGAGGTATTATAGGTTCAAATAGTAGGTACCAATCGAAAGAAAAAGCATAATAATTACATACATATTTTTTTTTTAGAATGTAAATATGTTTTTATTTTGTCTTAAATATACACCAATAATAAATGTTATGATCTTTTAAAAATTGTCATTGAACTTGAGAATTCTCGAAAATCAAAAAAAAAAAAATGTATAATATAATAATAATCACTAAAAATAAATAGGCACATCAATAACAAACATTTCTTATCTAACTATAGTAAAAAAATATCACGAAAATCATAATGAAGTTTAAAAAAAAAAACTATCCTTAAAAAATATACGTATAAATATAAGCTTACAATATTATACATATACAAATATATATGTTTATTATATTTATATGCATAATGTATGTACCTATATTATACATACATTATAAATATTATATTGTGTGTGTGTGTGTGTGTGTGTGAAGTGTTGTGCATATTATGTTACAAATATGTTACGGATAAATATTATTTTAAGTAAGGTAAAGGTTAAACTATATATATATCATATTAAGTTTAAATTTTATGTTGAATTAATTAATTGTTCTCTATATAATAATATAATAAAATAATGAACTAAACGAAAAAAAAAAACAAATCAAACAAATAAACATAATACGAAATAATAATTATTAAGTCCGTTTTGAATTATTAAACAATCGTCATTGTGTGTGAGTCAAGATCAAATTAAAATGTCAATATAATTCTGATTGTCTGTTTTTATGTTGTTGCTTATATGTTTAAAATGAAAAATAATTGTAGGTATATAATATTTCATAATAATATCCAAAGAGTTGACGTAAAAACTTAATACAACATTTTCTTACATTTTTATTTTATGTTACAAAAAATATATTGTAATAATTATAAGTTAAATATTGGTAGTTAAAAATAACAATATTATTATGTATACAGGGAGTTTATATAATAATAATAATAAAAAAAATTAAGACGTTTATAGAAATGTCTGTCCGTCATTAGAGGTAGGTAACGAAAACAGTGTGTGTTCTAAAATATTATAGTGGCTGTAGCGAACCCATAAGAATTTTGGTGTGAATAGGATTACTTAAGTTAATAATGTAATTAAATACGAATCTTCTTGTTAAACAATATATTATTAATGTTAAATTATTACGAGTACTATTTTGGGTTTTACAACTAATGAAGTTCGGTTATTAAATTAGGTAGGTACAACTTAGAAAATGTCGAGTGGAAAAAAATTTTTTTTTGGCACAACTTGTTATTTTGTTAACTATATCCAAATGAGGACAAACATTACGTCTCACCGTACTCATGATAGACTTGCATTCGTAATATTAGATAATAATTATAATAATAATAATAAAAAAAAACATTAACAAAAAAAAAAAAAAAACACAAATAAATAAAAAGAGGAACAAAAATAGAAACTTTAAACATTTTTAAATAAAACAAATCCTATTATGTATGTTAAAAAGGTTAACTAATTAAAAGTAACTATAAAATTACATTCTGGTAAAAATGTATTTATGCAACTTAGTTTAGTGCTAATAGTTTAAAATTTAAATTTATACAGGATGGCCCAAAAAGTCGCACATTTTCAAATAATATAACTTCCCGGGAAATTGATAATTTTTTTGCATTTTTCTTTTTATATTTAATTTACCTACCTATGTATTATGACGTGTATAGAGAATTATAGAACAACCGACAATATTATAATATTATGAACTAAGCCTGTTTGAAAATTCTAAGACCACACCTATAGAAATCTTATAAAAATATCCTTTATCAGATTTCGTTATCGAAAGTATATTGTACGATCGCAATGAAAACCTTCAATATCGAGTAAATTATATAGTACTATAACGCCTATTTCAAAACGCTGATTTTGTAACGGTATTTGTCGCAAGTGTTAATGAAAATATGTTGTTTTGTACCTGTCTTTATATTTTAATAAATTTCGGTGATGAGCCTGCATAAACATATAGATTGGTATTAGATAATATTTTGTAATGATGCCAAACAAAACACTCTTACAAGAAGTATTATATTATACTTAAAATATTAGGGTAATGATAATGACTTAAAATAGGTACTTAAAATATTCTGAGTGTTTACTTGGATTATATTCGTATATATGTTTTTGTAAGACTACTCTACATAATATAATAGATTATAAATAATAATTAATATAAATATATCATTATATTATTATATACACGTTTCGTGTGTAAGTGTGTGTTTGTGTGGTGTAGATATATATATTTATATTTTAAAACTAAATATGCACATATAAGTATATATTATATAGGTATAAGGTATTAGGATAAGGTAAAGATGATTCGAGAACAATTCATAATATTATATAGATTTTTTTCGAATAAAATCAACAAACAAATTAATTGTTTTTCGTTTTTGTATGGTAGGTAGCAAAGAACTAGCATTGCGTATATAATTGGAAAGCATTGAAATGTGTAATAGTGTTATAGTCGAGGGTGAACCAATGGACCTTCCTAAATTTCTTATTTCCTACGGTTATTGATCGGCTTTGAAATACTTTGAGTAGTATATTTTTTTTATTGTTAATTAACTATTTATTATTATTTCAAAAATATTATTATAAAATTTAACCGAAAATTGCGCATCGTAAAGTATACTAACGAGAATACTAGTCTGTAGTTGTAGCTGTAGTTGTAGCACTAGTACCTATATGAGTAGTAGTGGTAGTGATGGTAGTGGCGGTAATGGGGTGGTATGTGTATAGTGGTAATAGCGGTATAGAGCATACAATTATTATTATTATAGTAGAGTAGTGTTGTAGTTGAAGTTTGATTACGAGAAGTAAATCCAAGGGCGCACGTCCGAATAACGTTTTACCGTATAGCCTTTATATTGCACTCTGTGCATCTATAATATATATTATGATAACCTATAATAGTATACCATAATAATAAATATCACCAGGTAAATTATATCCCAACGGGTTTATAATGCGAAATTCGTACCAATATACATTATTGTATAGGTATATATATATGCGACCAAAACCATCCGAATAATAATAATATTATAGTTTTTACCGTACGGACGTTCGCCGATGCCTATCGTTTTGTATTATTACGCCAGTCATTCGTTGGATATATATAATTGGATAGATAATATATTAATATATATATATATATATATATATACGTTTATACTGAGGTTAAACATTTGAACACATATAATATTATTGTTATTATAATATTTCACACAATTAGTCATAACATGTTAAATCTTGTATTTTTTTTTTTTTATAACAATTTATTGAAAACGTATTTATATCATGTCAAGTATTTGATTAATAATATCTTATAAACATATATGTATGCATAGATAATATATAATATATATATATTATATATATATAAACATACATATTATATAATATTTATTATTGTATATAGGAGAAGGATTATTTTAATTTTATAAATTACTTATATTTCGAATTTTGTTTTCTAATCTATACTCGATGTTATACATTTTTATTATTATTAGTACATAAATTAAGTGTACCTATAAAATTTGCCTTAACTTAATTTTAAGTACCTAATCTAAAAATATTGTTAAATATATAATAATATAATGTATAATAGCTACCTACAATCAAATAGCATAAAAAAAAAATCAAAAAAAAAAATCATTGGTGCGTTAAAATATAATAACAAGATTAATATTTATATATTATATGTTGGTAATATAATTAGTTATATTTTGAGTAAAATAATGACTTTAAATAATATGAAGGGTTTTACATATAGTGAGTAACCAACCTGATTGTATACAATTCAAATAGTCCAATAGTATTTTAACATTTCTCTAAGTAAAATAGTTTACTTTTGTTAACAAAATACAAAGTGCATCGTCTCTAGTAAGATTAATAAATTATCATTGACATTAGTTTCCGACCTATTTTAAATATTGGATAAAGGAAACTTAAACAATCTAATTTAATTGTTTAATATTATTCAATTCGTATTCTACAATATTATTTATGAATTATATATGTAATGTAATACACTATAAAAAAAATGTACTGTGTATTAAACTGATGACTTGAATCGAACGTGATTTTGTTAATAATTATTAGGCCACAACCATACATTCCTGTAAACAAAAAAAAATACATTAAATTTATAAAAAAATTTTAAAAAACAATTCTAGTTAGTAGGTAGATACCTACTTATAAAATTGGTCAGTTAATTTTTTTATCGTTAGTTTTTATTTGTATATGAACATTTGACTTTATTTTGTTTTTTTAAACGCCAGAATGGTAATAAGGAAAACCAACTCTTGTATTTTATTTGAACAACCAAAAAGAGGAAAACTCAAAAGCGATATAAAACTATTGATTATTTGTATAATACAAAAAATCCCATGTCAACCCGAATGTAAGTATCCGCGTCGAAACATATTGGACGTCGATAAAACCAAATAAAAGTTGACCAGTTACCTATTTTACTTGTTATACCATCACACGTAAATATTAAAATAATTTAACCCAAATAATACAACTATACTTATATTAGTTAGGTAGATATATCACGCGTATTGTGTAAAAATCACAATGTGAACATTTAATTTAATTTAAATTTAAAATTACTGCAGAATCTTCGTTACCTACATTATAACCTTATATTGTTTGTCAAATTTGAATTTATCGTAAATGTTTCTCGAATAATATTGTCGTTTGCGTGTTCGAATGAAAGAAAAATGCTTTCTGTCACCAAAAACTTTAAAAACTTGAACGGTAATTTAATATTGAGAATACAACTTTTATGTATAACGTGTATATATAGGTATAGGTATACTAGTTACTCACAATGGATGCATGTTGTACCACAGGTTGATTTCTGGATTGCAGTCGTTATGTTAATACCTCGGGATGCCCGGTGGTGCAGCAACTAATAAAAAATAAACAATAATATTAGCACCTATCGAATAATACAACTTACAGTTATTGTCAAGGTGGTCGTATATATAACATGGCGTTGCAATACTAAATTTTTTTTTCCTTTCGACGATATGTCATATAAGTTACAATAGTAAATTATGTTATTTCTATAAAATATAATCCCACGTGCTCGTATACTGTAATGTACCTACCCATCTTTTGTCATAGAGTGATCAAAGACACTTAGCTTGCCGGCAGGAAGTGATGCCCAGGGATTGCATAATATTATTTAAAGTAGGTAAGTGAATAAAGATATTTGAGTATCAAAAAATATCTCTCAGACCGCGGAGGAATTTCTCAGTTTTATATTTTTGAAAATACCATAAGTATGAATTATAACCAAATATTCAGGGGGAAAAAAAATAATAATAAATAGAATTTTTAATTGAATTATACATTTAAGCGTGATAAGAAGATTATACATTATACGGTACAATATCTATAGTTTATTATTACTGAGAGGGAGGGGAGTTGCATTCTTAAAAATAATTAAGAGTAGAAATATGAGATAATATTTCATTGTAAATAACTGAAGGGATGGCAACAAAATAATAACCCCAAGTGGCCCACCGTCCACCACTGTAACCACATAATATGTATAGCTATAATATCGTACCACGTTAAACGCTGCAGAGTGATTCTTTAGTTTAACAGTAGACACTATTATCATCTCAAAAAGTATAAATGTTTTTTTTTTTTAAATATTTCTCTTACACAATATTTTAAAGTCACTACAAAACCAAATGTTTGAAGAAATAAATTATATTTTTGCTATTTTTTTACTATCGTTAATTTATCAATAAGTTTCCTTACTTTTTTAAAACATAAATTTTTAATCCTTCGTTCCGATGCCTGGCATATATATATATATGAAGGGTTACGGGGAAAAACGATCGTAGTCAAAAGAAAGACAAAATCAAATAGTTATAGTGCCTTTTGGTTAGTTTCATAACGAATCGACACGTGAATCGATTTTGGAAAAAAGATCACGGTCAATAATATAATATATAGGTTTTAATATTACCATAAAAGGAAAAAAAGCCAGAGTCCCACTTTAAAACTGCAATACTGAACATTTTAGGAATATTGACTATTATCGTTTTTCCCCGTAACCCTTCATATATACCTAATATTATATTTGTTTTAACAATTGCAATGTATAAAATAATATTTTCAAACTGCTAGTTAATTATTTGTAAGTATATTTTAAAGTATTAATTAATAGAGTATATAAAGCGGTCCACTTCTGTGATTGCTTCTTTTTTATTAGATTATTATACATTTAAATTTTTAAAACAACATCTTAGAATGTGTACTTATTTAAAATGTTTCCAGTCTTTTGAAAAGGTTCAAAACTTAAAAATACTATATCGTGATAAAAAAAATAGGAAGTAAAAAGTATGATTTTAGTAGTAGATACATTATATACCTTAAAATGTAAACAGGTTCTGTGTAATAATATTATTATATTGTTTAAATATTATATTGTTTTCGATATGAAATTTTAAATAGCCTCCGATTTCGTATATAGTAATCGTGTACAACTGGATAATACTATTTTAGTAGTCAATCGGCTCATATGTTTGAACATCTGTTTCCTGCACCGTTATTGTACTTACACAACTTACGGCCAACATCCTTCATATTACATTTGCCGAGATTATACTTATTGTTGATTTAATCAAATCTTTCTCGATATTGGCGAGGATAATTCCCGACGATACGACGTATTATACAGGCTACCTATCGCGGGTTTCGTAAATATTTAACGAGAGACTTACAAGATACGGTTGGCACGAACGGCTGAAGCAATTGTTGGTAAGCTCCCGTGTTCTGTTGAAACACCGGCATTCCAGACTTGTCGCCCGCGGCTCGTTTGTACTGCATCATTCCCGGAAATGCCTGGAAACCATTAATGTTTGTCTTGTATAACAAAATAAAACACTGAATTTCTGCACTTTGAATAGCTATATGACGGCGAATCGTATTGGTAGGTACTTGCAGTCAAGGCCGTATCTGGGGGGGAGGAGGGTCCAGGGGGTCTCGACCTCCCCCCCAAATGTCTTCAATATGTCTTTTTTTTAACCAAATATCAAAAGATAAATTCAAAATACATGTGTTGGACCCCCCCCCCACCCCCCAGAAAAATTTCTGGATACGGCCTTGCTTGCAGTCAGACCGATTTAATCCGTCCAGATACGCAGCGCATGATGTATATACATTTATTATAATTTATTTATAATAATAATCAATACTTTAAGGACTGTTGGGTAATAATGACAGCAATAATTGAAAACAGTTTCGTTATTACCCACACAATGTAATTTGGTTGACGTCTGAATAAACGAAAAATAGGTTAGCATAATATTATTATTGAATGTATAAAAATACATTTTTATTTTTTAGTAAACTAAGCCGTCATTATTCTGCTGATGGTGCATAATATTATTATTACAGCATTGAGTTCATAAACGTGCGCATATAGCTTCGGTGAGCAAGTTTAGACCCAACTCTAAAATATTATATCCTTCCTATCAGCATCACTATAAATCAAAAATATAATAAACCTGTTTATATTTGTCAGCTCATTATTGGTTGACTTTAAATAACAATTTTATTTTTATATTAATTATTTATTTGTTAAATATACTATACAACACAATACAACATAAGTGTTTTGGAAAAGTTAAAATTAGAAAACACTATTTTCTAATTCAAAATAGTATTTTCAGATCTTTTTTTTTAATTTTGGCTTCTTTTGGAGTAATTGAAAAATATTTTCGTTTTATAAAAACACAATTAAATTTTATTTTAAATACTTAAAAACTTTTATTTGATGAGTTTATTATTCAAATGCTTTTATAAAGTGTGTACCTACTTTTTATTTTCAGTTTATACTTTTTAGGCCAGTTGAAAAAGATTAAAATTGCGTTCAACCCCTTTATAGATACAGATTACTTTAAAATGTAATTTTTCGAGAAAAGTACTTACTGAAAATAACTTTACATAAATTAAAAAAATAATTGTTTATCCTTAACCAAAAATTATAAATTAAGAATAAATAAATGTACTATCTAATATATATATTCAATTACTTATAAGAAACAATAAAGAACCAAGAACACTATAATGTACCTACTTTTGTTACTGATACATTTTTAAAGATAATATAAATTTATATTGATCAAAGATATGTTTTACTAACTTTTTGTTAACGATTATTTTTGTTGAATATTTTTCTGAACGTATGTCTAATTTATTTGAGGAAACAAATTAATTTTTCATAGTCTCCCCGCCCACCGTTCCACCATGCGAACGTATATAATATTTGCATTAATAATAATATTATGTAAATATTGTTAAGTATGATTATTATTATTTATAAATAATAGTCAATATAAACCATTCTGTAGTTGAAAAGTTAAATCACATCACACGATATGTAAACAGTTTTTTTACGATTTTAACTCATTATGGCATAATAAAGCACCTCTATAGTGTAAAGCTCTAAAGCTAATTATAAATGTTTAAATTTTATAATTTTGTATGTCAGTATCAAATTTGTATTGTGATCTGATTCACAGTGCAGTCTACATTTTACACAAAACAAATAATATTATATAAATATTAATAAAAATAATACAATAAGCAATACAAATAATATATAATCATATTATAATATAAGTTCTATTTTAAAATATAATATTAGTATTATGTAATAAAATAGTTAAACAAAACGAAAAAATATAATATTTAAAACTAATAGCATGCGTATTATTATTTTTTTTTTTTTTTATGACATAGTTTAGTCAGCTCAAACCATGACAGAAATGTAGTTAAAATCATCCAAATAACTACAGTTTTGTGTACGAACTATATTGTTGTCTTAAATTCGGTACATCTATATTATAATATATTGAAGAAACGACGACCTGTGCTTGAATTGGAAAAAAAAATTAGTTAAATGACTTTTTGTATCTATAGGTAGGTACTGATAATTTGTTTTCCAAAAGATTTATCGACTTGTGTGTCATTAAGATAAATTAGAAGGGGTGCGTTGAAATGTTTTTTAAAAAAGAAGGAGTATTATAGTTCGCTACTTTCCAAATTAAAGCAACGGAGATAACTTTAAACAAAGGGTGCACTATACGCGTAAATAACTGCAACTTTTTTGGGTGGGGTGTATATGTTATTGCGTTGTTTTGCATCTGTTGAAATGTTTTTTTTTTTTATTTTTGATAACTTTAGATACATATTCAACAGTAAGTATTATGTTCTAAGTTTTCACATTGGGTATTATAAAATTATGAAATAACTGTTGGTTTTAGAATTTAATATGAGAGTGGTATAAGCTTGTACGTCATGTACACGTGATGTTTTCTTGTGGCCTATTAAAAGCGATGAAACTACGCGAACAAAACGAATGTAAGAATATGCTTTGAAAAGTGTAAATTGTACATAAGTCCGTCGGATATTTTGCAAAATTGTTTAAATAAAAATTCATGGATTTGTTGTCATGAGAAGTGCAGGTATACAGGCTAAAATAATAAATATTTGTTTAAGTCTTTCTTATGAAATCGTAGGCTATTAATAATTATTATTGTGAAACTTTGTTTTCAAGGTATTTAAATGTAACCTTATTATTAATTGATCAATTTTTAATTTTTAATTGTAAATCCCAAGAAACTTGGACCTCCTATTTATTTTTACTTATAATTATTGTATTAATGGTTTGAATAAAGATTATTGCAGATTAAAATGTATTAAAAAATTTAACTAAGTACATAACAATCCTTACTTTTAAACGAAAAAATTATCTATTAGGATAATCTTAAAGTACTAACCTGTGCTTAAAAATATATTTGATTGTTTTCACTTGATTATAATTTTACAAGCTCATATATACATAGATACTGACTGATTACACGGTTATTAGTTATAATTGTTAAGTATTAATTTCATTCTTTATGTTTATTTATATGTATACTAAAATATGTTGTACCAAAAACATGGGTGATAACTGTTATATTAGGCACATGGCTTTGGCCAAGAAAAAATGAACAAACATAAAATACGACACTCTGTGTATTTCAGTTTGAGAGTAGGTGGTACCTCAGTTCACGGGTAAGTCGATGGGTACAAATCCGACCGAGAGGCAGGTCAACTCACCTGCGGTAGATTGGGTACAGCTGCAGGCTTGTGTGTATTTCGGTTTAAGCGTTATAACTTCACGAGCAAATCGGTTTAGGTTTGCGGTTGGGGAAAAATGAACAAAAAAATGTAAACAACTCAGCAAGTGAGTGGAAAAAGATTTTATAAAATCATTGTAAAAGTCCCGACTGATGGCGCCACTGATTTATTCCTATTTCAGAGTTCAATTTTCGGGAGACAGGCGAAATACTGAATTTAAATTTTGCTTAAAACCTGCTTCCCGGCTCTATAAATTAAAATAACTACTTGACAATTCTTTGAATGATCAGTGAAACCAATACATTTATGATAAAATATATACAATCGTGTGAGATCTAATCAAATCTTGAGAGTAGCTTTCCATGATTAAAATATATTGCCACGTCACTGATTTGTTTGAAATAATTTGTGATTATCTAGTTGTTTGGAAAATAACTCCCTAATGACGAGACTGAAATAGCTGAGGTGGACTTGAGAAAATATAGAAAAAATAATATATTACAATTTACAAGGGGATTCGCAAAGCTTTCACTTTTACCCCTCTTTTATTCTTTAACGGTGAATTTATTCAAATTATATTTTTTTGGTATTTTTAAGTGTAGGTATAAGACCATATTATATTTAAATATTTAGATGTTTCACCATTTAGAGGGTATTCTGTGATGATACAAACTTCTTTTTTTTTTTTAAATGTTTATCATCTTGTTCACTGATAATCGCAAATCGGATGAGTTTTTAAAAATGTTGACGTATTTAAATCGAAATCCAAACGAGTAGCTTTTGTGTTATTATTAAGCTTTGTGTACCAATAATAATAGTTCTTAATAACGAATTTCTATAAAATAGAAAATAAATGTAAGTACCATTTGGTTTAGCTCTTATTATACCTGGAAAATGCTTACAAACTATAAAATTGTAGTAAATTGTAATAAATTGAAATAAATTGTAATAAATTTACTACCGTAATTTGCAAATCACCATACTCCCCATTATTATATCTTGTAAGCCTGTTATCATAGACTATATTATTCTAAGTACTTGAATTTTAATAACTCAGAAACTACTAATTTGGAATTATATATATATATATAAATTATATATCTACAGTATAAAATATGCAGCTCCTCAAAACTTAAACAATTTAAAATACTAATGGGTAATTGTCATTTGAAAAAAAAAGTTTGTATCACCACATAAGCTCCTTATGTACACTTATGTACTTCAAAAATGACAAAAATGGCATATTTAATAAATACTCGCAAACAAAGAAAAACAAAACGAGGTGAGTTGATGATTGATGAATTTCCATGAATATTATAATATACAAGAATTAAGCTTAAGATTTATTTTAACCTTAAGTTTAGTATATTACAGTTTATTAAGTTCATTATTATATTAACATCGGTTTGTAAATCAATGATGGTTTTAGTAGTACATAATATTGTATTAAACTTTTATATGTAAACGAACTTGAGAGACAAAAATTGCTTTTGAGTTATGAGAATTAATCTCTCTTTAACTGTGCGGTAAACAAATTACTGCTGTTCGTATTAAGCTAAAATAGTTTTGTACGAAAATGAAATGTCTCATTTGATTACTGCAGTAATCAAGACTGTTTTGAAATGTATTTCATGAATTCATCATCGGAGCACCGAGTTCTATAAATTTTAACGGTTCTCGGGGTCAAACGTGGAAAATTACGCTTTCCGAAATTTCAAAAATATGAGTCTCTCCTTCGCTGGAAACGTCCGGCGGCGAAAGGGTTAATTTATTAAGGTCCAAAATAGCCGTTGTTATACTGTGGTTTTTGCACTACATTATTAACACATAAATCAACCACCCCGAGTTAGTAAGCTTCAAGCAGATAAGCAAATGGTAGCAATTAACAAAATAAATAAGGCACGTTAAGCAGCATTTTCATTGTATCGATTTCCAAAATGGCTATGATGTGATTGCAAATGGATGAGCCGCGTATAAATAATAATATTATTATATTTTATAGACGGCGACAAAAATGGTCGCATGTTTGCATTGATACCTATTATTATTAATGTGTGAACAGTCATAATACAACAATATGTAGGTACGTATACACAATTTTTGTTTGCAATAAAATAAATTAGCTTGGACCGATTATTGCCGCACGGAATGCCTTTTATTTCTATAATGCGTTATTAGATAATGTTAATATCTTTCGTTCTTTTGCATACAACACATTTTCAGAGCGTATATATTTTTGGAACGTGAACGCATTTCGTCATTTCGAAACCAAAAAATTGCACATTAACAATATCAACAGTATTTACAAGTTATTTACTTACAAAATTCTCGTAATAAAATGTTCCAACGGCTTTCATATCCATCTGAAACACATAACTCGTTGATAAACTATTTGTAAACCTTAACACATTTGAGCTGGGAAATAGGAGGTGATTATAATATTCAATGAAAAAAAAAAATATTATTATTATTTTCACACTTTTATGTACAGTAATAATTATTCCCTATGTGATTAATACATAGATTGTTTTACTTTCGATAAAATTAAGAATAACATTAAAATCGCACGACGCCGCTACAGTGAGCTATAATATTATAATATAATACAGTGGGACTTGGGTAACTCAAAGTTGAAAAGACCGGCCAAATAGTTCAAGTTATCCAATAAGTATATAATACAATAATAGGAAATTCTAGAAACTGGAAAAAGTTCGAGGTTATGATGATTTCGAGTTAAAGTAGATCGATGAGTTAACCTAGTTCGGCTGTATTATAATAATATTGTACCTACATCATATTATAAAGTCTCATTTCCTCGATTTTTTTGGTTTTGATTTTTTACACGATTTGAAGTCATTTCAACACAAAGTTTTTGAAAACCTGCTATACTTGTTGTCGAAATGGAGTGGTGCAAGGGTGGAGGAGTACCACGGAAATGGTTGGTCTTAACTAATTATAACTATATACTGGTTCACCGGTTGTCGTTTGCGCATCACTATTGTTAATTTTGATCTTTTTTCTAAGACCGTTGAGCATCGTTCGATTTTTGGGTAATATATAATTTGCGCATTGACCGTTTTAAAGGTCGTACATCATTTGTGCATCAAAATTATTTAACCAAACTGAAAAAAAGTGTATGCCAAAAATCAAAAGTTGTTTTCTAAATGTTTAGTAGTATCTATCATTTGCAACGAGCTCTTAAACGTCAAAAACTCTAAGTACTTAAAATTAAATGAAAATTTTTAATAATAAAAAAAAAAACTAGATTTTGATGAGTTTTATCAAAATTTGATTTCAACAAAAATTTATTGCTATGTATCACTATTATTTTTAGAATTAAAAATTATATAATACAATTATTATTCATTATCTATAATATAATATTATATTATGTATGTACATTGTACATTTATATAATTATGACTACAATTTAATTGAATTAACGAAATTTATTTTAAATTGTTTGCATATATTTATAACTATGATATAATATGAAAACCATTGAATTTTTAACCAAAAATTATTTTTTATACCCTTATAATATATTGTTCAACATGTTGATGCGCAAATGATATACGGCCACGGCCTACTGGTTCGAAGTAAGGTTTTTAGATATTGGTATTCTCAAAATAATATTATATTTAAGAATAGGAAAATAAATTAATTGTTATCATATGAAAAAGTAAAAACAATAAAAATAAAAAGATAAATATATTATAGTTATAATATAAAATCTTTTTTTCAAAAACGTTGTGTTGTATTAACTTTAAATAATATAAATTATGTAAAAAAAATAAAAATGTGCTCAACAACACATAAATTTACTGATAAAATGACTGCGCTTACTGACAAAAAAAAAATCTCATTTTATCACAAATCCGACATTTGCAGTTTCAATCCTAACCTAGGTATATACTATATTTTTCACGAGTTTAGTACCTCGATAATCGAGCTATGAAATATACATGTATGCGTATTTTTCAGCCACAGTATTGGATGCACACATCGCTGTACAATAAATTAATAAATAATAAAATATTTAATATAAAAAAATCTAGGCATAATTTTTTGTCTTTTGATACATCGTGTACGCACATAGCGTTGTGTAAGCGTTTCAATGTTCCATAATATTATAAAATCGAGAATTTTTTCCTTTCTACATATTTCTTTTGAATTTTGTCGATATAGTTTTCTTCTGAGTGACGTTCAAGAATCAAATATATTTGTTGAATGAACTACTATACCAGCTAATATACAGCTAATATACAACGTGCCGTTGTTTATAAAGACTTATCGTGCGCTTTTCATTTATCTTAATTGTAAAAAATGGCTCGTTCTTATTAATTTTTAATTATAAAGTATTTCAATTGAAGAAAAGAAAAAATGTGTAATTGATTCTTTCGTTAACTATAATATATTTTATTCACGATCATGCACGTGTGCAGTGTTATTCGTTGCAATTTTTTTTTTTTTGTGGTTCCCTTTATGATCCTTTTCGTTTTTCAAATAGCTACGGGACACGGAAACCCGCAAATTGTTCGTTCGAATGTATAAATGCTATAAATCAAAAGTAGATGCCTCGCAAAATACACTTAGCTAATCAACATTTATGAGTAATACATTTGAATATTAAAATTGCTATCTTAGAGAGGGGCCACGCTTAATTTATGGCCTTTGGACATGGACGGAAATTCTGTGTTAAGCTTGAGAAAACTTTAGGATTACACTTCGTAATATACTAATTTCGTATATATTATTATTATATTAGGTATAAGATCTGAATATTATTATTATATATCGTTGAAATAATTTTCGTACCAGCCGTGTTCGATTATTTTGCAGGCGACAGTTATTATTATTATCATTACGAATTTCTGAGCATATTATATCATTATATCATAGTACATAATATTATATACAAACGTATAATTATTTAGTTTACGAACGCAAGACGAAATTGATTGCTCCAACCCGCGTGTTGTGCTGCAGATTCATTATTATTAATATTGATTGCTGCAGTGTACTGTGCCTATATATATATTATGTTATATATTAAATTATTATTTGAAATGGCTATAGGCGCGTATCTGATAAATTGTTGAATATAATTTATGTATATATATATATTATTATTATTTGTATATGTTTATAACGAACATCGTCGGTCGGTGTATTTAAGAGTTCGTCATTTCCTAAACGTCATTCAAAATTGTTTGAATTAAATTAATTTCCATTTAGGATATATTTCCAATATATATTATTATAACCGCCCTATATATTATTATTATTACAGCGAACCCGCAGATCACACACCTATATGTGCCAAATACATAATATTTTACTCACGATACATAATATGTAATAATATAATATATTATATTATTGAAATTTGCATATTTACTGGAAAACCAATAACGGGGAACACGGTAAATCGATCGAGTGATGAACTATTGCCACACAACTATAAGTAAACTTAAATGCAGTGAATTGGGTATACCTACGTTTTCGGTAAGAAATACTTCACAGCTGAAAATATATTCTGCAGCATTGGGTCAATAAGATTCACTATGTTGAGCTACCGAGACATCAATGTTTTAAAAACATTATTTTAAATTAAAATAGGTATAAAACTGAATCTTCAAATTGTTAGAACTATAGTCAATAATATTATTTGTATCGCTCTTTTCTGTAACGAAAAAAAAAATGTCCTCCATGCCTGTTCAGAAGTTTTCGGTTACAGTTACGTCTACAGGATATTATTTTATTCCTGCAATTATTATTGATCAGATGAAGGAGAAGCGAAATTTTTACAAAAAAAAATATATATATATATTATATACCACGAAAATTGTAATTCTTGTATTCGATTGTTACACTCGAGGTGCCAGATTTGAGTCTCTATAATCAATATATGTTGATTGCAATTTTATCTTTAAACAACATATCATGCAATGATTGCTGATAGTTAGGTAGGTATTATAATATATTTTATTATATTTTTAAAAACCCCGACTCCGACTGTACATATTTGATGTTTATCGCAATAAATATGATAGCTCGATAATATTTTTATATTATTTATTAATTGTATCCGGCTATAATACACGATGTAGGTACAATATCTTTTAAGACACTCCCGAACTATTATTCCAGTGTTTGCATACGTCACCGTGAGTATGAGCAATATCACTTTGGTTTAAAGTTTAAACTCGCATTTGATTTATTCAAGTCCGTTCGTATACAATGTACGTCGCCGTCGTCATCGTCGTTTTTGTCGTTGTTTGTTCAGGATAGGATCTGATGGCATTTTAATTAAACCCGGGTTAATTGGTCATCTCATACATTATATGTATGTGTGTGTATACATTCTGCGACCCTCGACGTTGACGGTTCTTCCGCATAATGCGTTATGTATGGCCGTCGGTGTTTTTAATTTGCTATTAATATTCTTATAACCTAAACGGTTTATGCGACGCCAGGCACGCGTTATAATAATGATGAAAGGAAGTATGTATGCATATTTATTTTAACGGTGTTTTGCTCTTGGTGCTATAATTTTTGATGTGGAACCACACTCAGCGAATATTATATTATATTTTATTATGTGCGTATTGCATAATAATACTTACTGAGCGGCGCAGCAATACTTGTTTGGCCTACACCGCTGAAATCAAAGGACCTCCGCGGTCGAGGGTTGATTTTGAACTCGAACGTCAAGCACACATTATATTATTAAATTACTGTACAATCTCTTTGGAAATATTATTTCGGTGCGTTTTCCCATGTGGCGGCTGTATGTGTTATGGACGTCAGTGCAGTGAGTATTATATAATAATATGTGCACGATAAAAAAATATAATTGCCGAGAGAACGACAACAATATTATACACAGCTGCGGTTCAGCCCAGATACGAAGGTGTGAACTCACGCGATTAACACGTCATAATAAAGTATACACAATACATTATTATATTTTACGATATTTATGTAACGGAGAGATTAATCGGTTGGACGATACTCAGATATAAGTCAACGGCATCAACGGCACGGGCTAGGTTTCGTAGGTTTCTTTTTCGTATAGGTATATATACTGTCTCAATAAGCTTCCATTAATTTTGAAATATTATTCGTATATATTATTTACAAACCTCAACGACTCACTCGCATGCACTAAATCTCGTCCTTAACCACCCCGCCTTTTATTATATACAGATATATATATATATATGATATTCTTATTTCAATTTTATAAACTTCGCCCTTCTCCAATTATTATTATTAATGTAAGCCGATAAATACTTGATAATAGCGTTTCACATTTCGGTTTCCAAATTTATGATTTCATCTTGCGCACTGACACTCACCGCTAATGATTTGTCATATTTTTTTCAGTATTGGCTTTGCGTTTATACCTTTTATATTACATCGTTTAACGGATCAATATCTCATCAGTTAACTCTGTTATCTATTGTTTATTGAACATAATATAATATGTATATCTGCAAGGTGAATGGATATATATTATATATTTATACATCGTGGGTAGGTATACCTATTGTATATTACAAGCTAAGGCCGAAAACTTATAACGCGTGATAGGATTATACAATGTTATACTTTAACCTAGCACGACCATAATATTGTGGTCACTGAATAATGGATAACCGGGGAAAAATAATAATAATTTGAAGTATAATTAATATGGAAATTCTGGTCAAAATGTTCATCACTCGATCAATCTCCGTATTAAAAAAAAAAATATATATTAATAATAAGATCACCAGATTCACCTACACAGCATCTGGGAAATGATAATATTTTGTAAATATTTAAAAGTGTTTGAATAATGAATATTTGACTAATAATATTTTATAAATATTTTCCTCTCATTATAACCAAATATTGTACTATATTATTACGATTGCATAAAAATGTTGACTTAATATTTTTATATAGTTTCCGTAAAAATGTTTTTTGAAAATATTATATGATTAAATTAATGTTTTGTAAATGCTTTTTTTAGCCTAATTACATCAAGTAAAGGGAGATTTTTAATCAAATACATTAATCAAATAAATTTAACACAATATTCATTTCAAACCGACGGCGCATACAGCAACGCCACTTCCCCGGTGTTTATATATGAGTAAAGCTCACGTCTGATTTTCAATGGGAGAAAAATAATTAAAGTCGTTTTTATAAATCCTCTTCGAGCCCAATTATAGCGATCGGAAAATCCACGGTCGAAACAGTTCTATAAGCCGACCAAATGGAAAGGAATCGTGTCGAGGAGGCTTTAAAAATAACCCTCCCCCCACACACACCAACACCCAGGTACCTACACAACCCAGAGGTTTTTCGATTAATTACTATTAGTTGTTGGGCATGGTGGGAATAGGATTTCTGGTCGGTATAAGAGCACGCAGTGATAACAATACGAACAATATCTATATGTTGCTCGACGTTGGCCCGGGCAACAGATTCAGCCACGACGGCGTGACCCTCATCCCTATCTGCTGCAGCGCAGTTCAAACGTTACGGGTGGGAAAAGTTACTAATGCCAAAATAAATTGGTGGGTTATAATATATCACGTGTATCGAGTCGGCATACCCAGGGTCACGTAAATAAGCCGGACCGGAGTTCATGCCGCCGGAGGGTGTTACGCGATGTGTCGGTGCAGGTATTATACCTATAGTAATAATATATATAAATAATATAATTTAATATAAAGTGTGAGTAACTTTTTGCATTGTTGTTGGCTTCAATTTACAAATTGTTCCGTTCCGCGGTATCGTATAATATTAAGCATATATTTTATATAGGTACTCCGAAGAATTTCAAAACGCAAACTTCATATAATACTGTGCGAAACGTTAGGTACCTAGGTATATTACTGCGTGTCGTTTGTGATTATTTTTAATATTTTTTTGTTTTTGTTCCGTTCGTTATCGATTAGGTTTAATGCGATGAAAAAAAAAACAAGTTTACGGTTGTCGGTTATAATATTATTGTCACCTATTATGTAATACGATTGGGTGTAATATATTTAAAAACATTTTCACGAGCTTAATCGAATATAACTGATGATGGTGTATTTTTAAAATAATGTTTTTTGTGACGACACGGGGATTGAATATTGATTTTTTTGGTATTTCCTACGACTAACGTTATTTACTCATTTAATAATTGTTTGTATAATGTAAAATGTTGATGTTATTTAAGAACGGCAATTGATTTTAGTTCGTATTTACCGGTCCAATTTGTAATAATTTTTATTTATTGTTATAATTTATGATGGTATACAAATTTACCAAAAGTAATTTGATTATGTTTGAGCATTATATTAATTTTCGATAAATATATTATATGTATTGAGATTTATAATTAGAAATGGGGAAATACATTTCAGGATCATTGAATAAATTAAATTTTGGCTAGAAAGCAGTCAACTGGAAATGCATATTAATGACGCCGTACAAGTCATTTGATGAGAAAAATATCAATTTACTTTTATATACAGAGTGATTTTTTTGGACTTACAACTTGTCTGTACTCGTCGAATAGTGTGACTTCAAGTAACTGTAATATTAATGAATAACACGTTCGATATTCTTCGATTAGGTATAGTTCATATTAAAATGTTCTCTATTGAAGATATTGTATAGGTTAAAATAATTGTTGTAGTTGGAAAACAATTTCCTACGAAGTTTGGACAAATGAGAGAGGGGAATAAATATGGGATTTATATGAACAATTATTATTAATTTACAGACTAGTATGTAAGTAATGGGATAGTATGTCGATAATTAATATTTCTATTAAAATCAAAATAGAACGATTACCTTACAAACGCTTTCCGGGATAAGATTTACTTCAAAAATAAACATGTATAGTAAGGTACCTATCTATTACATTATATTATAATATATATATGGGTAAAACATAATATTATATTATTAAACGAAAAATTATTGAATTTTAGATGGACCAGCATTTTGACACAATTGGTATAATGAATAAACAACAGGATGAGTCATTGAGAGGCACTTTAGATGTTGGTACAATTATTATGGTATTAGATTATTGCACAGAGTTAAGTTAAGTTGATATTGTATAAAATCTGTATGTCCGTGGTACCTTTCTCAGATCCTCGTGATACGTAAGTTAAAGTAAAAATTAATTAGATAAAAGCCACAAGACAGTCGCAGTAACAATAGGTAGGTATAGTCATAATACTATTATGCACCTATATAGTAGTACAACAAAGAAATAAAAAGGTGTGCGCTAAATATAAAAACTTTTGTCGCATTAACGATAATACGATTTTTATCAGATAAGCAATAGAAACATATAACTTTGCCAACGGCATCGTACAAATCTACGAGGACGTTTAAAGTTGAATAATAATAATAATAATAATAATAATAATGATAATAATAATAAAAATAATCAAACAACTTAAATGTTCATCGGCTGATGCGAGTTTGTTTAGCGATACGAAAGTTATCAATGTTGATATTATAATCAACAATCACTCGGCAAGATGAAAATATCTGTATAGTATTACTTATCAATATAAGGTACCTATGTGTACCTAAGTACTATAGAAGTTGTGTGTAAGTATTAGAAGTATATGCATATAAATATATAATTGTATTATGTTATATATAAAAAGCTTCTATATAATACATTTTATAGGTACCTATATATAAAATAGGTGATAATAACGGTATAATAATAATATGTAAATAGTAATAATAATTAATTTTAAAGTCTATAATAAATATAATATAAAAAAATAACAAAATCAACGTCACGTATTGTGAGAAAACGTATTAGCTAATAAAAGATGTAAGAATCGAAAAAAAAAATTTAGCTAAAAGATCAGTTATAATAATGATAATATTATAGTTAGATCCCGCGGTCATGCTTTTTTTTTATCGATAATCGGGCGGAAAACCAAAAGTAGTATAAGTACCTAAATAATAATAATTATTAAAGACGTTACTAAGGTAGGACTAGATAGGTAAGGCAATGTGAAAAAGGGTTTTGCTTTTTATATTTTACTAACGTCTAGACGGTCGTTCCTAGGCATTTTCTGTTGTGTGACCATTGTCTGCTGCACGGCCATGGCCAGCGGATTGTTCGGGTCTGACGTGATTATCGTGGTCGGTCCAATCAACGGGCCGGCGGCGCTAAAGTATGGCGTGTAAGTGTTGCCGACCTGGGTACTAGCGCCAGGGATTCCGGTCAAATATGCTGTTGGCGTTGCCTGCGAACGAGAAAAACACAACGATCAAAAAAATCGAATTCACATTGTATAATATTTAAGGTAGATAGTTATAAAATAATATAATATGTGATTATTTGGACGACTTTATATTATAAAGTATATTTAAAACAATATATTATTATATTATTCATGTAGGTACAATATTATTATTATATTATTACTATTGTGTACACATAATCTTATTATTAGGATTATAATAGGATTTCTGCAAATCGGATTCAAAGACCGCACACGAGATCGTATTCTCGGACGCGGTGGTTTATATACTGAATAAGTACCTATTTTGAATACTTTATTGATTTTATGATAGTATAGTAAGTAATCCTCAATAAGCAAATGTCTTTAAAATACTGCATTATAGGTTATAAAATATTAAACGATAGACTTTGATTCGTTTTTAATAAGTGCACACCAGCTGTTATTTAGTATAATCCTGTTCGATAAAGTTTTGACTTTTCGAACTTTTATCTACATTTGAATTACAATTGTTATTTTAATGAAAGTACCACACTGCCTAAAATTAATTGATCATAAATTGACAAAAGTCAATAATTAAAATGCTAAGGTATAGGTACCTACTTATTAGTAAGTACTCGTAAATAATAATATTATAATATAATAAAGCTCAAATTAAAATTCTTAAACTATATGTACCTACTACATTTATATAAAACACATATTTTAAGACTATTTATAAAAGAATTATAGGTATTTAATATAATCTTTTATGAAGGAAGACAATTAAAGTCTATCCTGCAAAAATAGTCACTAGAAATATAAATTAATATCTATAACGTTATTTATTATAATATATTCATTGAGTTCATTGTAAATTAATCAATCACAATATTATTCGAAACACAACTTAAATATGATTTTTATTAAATTTTAAAGGATTTTAGAGAATATTACAATGAATAGTATTCTGAATGATATCTAAGTATTTATGTAATTATTTCAAATATTGATATAGTAAATTATATACGGAATCTACATCGAAAAAATATTTACTCGATTACTCAATAAAAAAAAAGTTTTCGTAATTTCGTGTAAGTATACTTAACGTACAGTTTGAACTAAATGTATTATTATACATCTTAGTCAGTAACATCATTTTTAGCCCCCGTGGGGTTACATGGATTCATTTCGAGTTGATAGCAAATTAAATTTGTTCCCAAATCAAAATTCGATTATACCTTATAAAATATATTTACCAAAACCATTCATGAATAATGAAAAATGCTGTTTATTTTACTCTGCTGAAAAATGTGTGGGTATTACCTATATATAATAATACCGGAGAAACGTTTTGTTTGCACGGACGTATATAACGACGTATATAGAATAGCTTAAATGGTCTTATCGAAAATTCTCCAAGCTTTCCGGGATATAGATAATAATACTATATAGGTAGGTTGATACTTATGATTTGCATCGGGGAAAAAAAAACCCGTCCTAGATACCGAGACCGGTGCGATAAAGTCGAAAACAACATAATGTAATATACTTATAGCAGGTAGGTACAATAGCTATATGTATACCGAGTCTCGGCTTTAACTTAATTTAAAGGATCCAAAAGACAAACTATATAGGTACTTGGCTATTTTTTCTGCCTGCGAACAATGCCGCGCGTAGTGTACTACTACTGCAGGAATGAGTTTCACTTTAGAAGGAACACACACACACACACACACACACACACCTCTCCCAAAACACCCACATGCGTGCGAATATTACATTATACGATCGTGTTTGTTATCGGCCATCATTCGTTGTACTGCGGTGGAAAATCGATTCGGGTGCGTTTTTCGCGTATTTTTTTTTATATATTTTTTTATGGCCACACAATGCCGAATGTGTCGTGATACTATAAAATATTATATCGTAAATCGTAACAATTTAATCGTATAATAATAATAATAATAATACATTACTCCGTCGGCGGAGTCGGTGGCGGCGCCAGAACTATGGCAGTAACCTAGTTGCAGCGGCTGGCCGGCCGGCTGTCCGTGGCCGATTTATTATTTTTTCGAGGCGTCCGTTTTTATATTATTTTGTTCCGATTTTCAGCATTTAGTGACCCGCGAGTGTCACAGTGCAATAACGGTGGTTGACAGGTACATCGAATTGTATTCATATTATGTTATTTTTTTTTTTTTTTTTTTTTTTTTTTTTTTTTTTTTCCGATTTAATCGAGAGCCGGAGAAGGAACTGTTGCTCACATTGCTTCTTCTCCGGCCCGATGCTTCTTCTCCGGCCCAACTTCTTCTCCGGCCCTACATATTATGTTATTAGTTTAATCTATATCCCGCCGACACTGCGTAATAATTTACTAACGCCGCTCCCGAAGTTGTTGAAGTTATTTTTTTCTTTGAACTTTGACATTTAAATGCTCTTTCCGTATAGTCGTATAGATACAATATAATAATATTTTAAAACTAATATGTCAGTATACAGTTTGTATATTACCTAACTAAACCAACATTTATTTTTTCATACAGTCATGCAATGTATTTTATCAAGGTGGACCCGACGGGCGCCGCCACTGGCGCCACTGCGACAACGGACGGTCTATATAAAAAAAAATATAATAACAACGCGACGGTATGCCGACTTTAATAATGAAATTGATGTGAGTGTGCGTGCTTGTATGCCTCTGTGTGCACGTAGTATACGGCAGTGCACTGTGCACACATTCCGAGCACCTAAAACCGAAAATAATTAATACCAACTCGGCTGAAATCGAGCGCAGAAAACGCATTGCTTAAAAGGTCGCGTGTCGCGTGACGCGGCGGACGTATAAATCATCGACCATTGTCTCTCTCTCTCTCTCTCTCTCACACACACACACACACACACACACACAGTCGCACACACACTTTCGCTTCACATTCCTTCCCCGGTGATTACGAGCCGCATACAATTATTATTATTATTATTATTCGCGAGGACATTTTGTGCAATTATGCGTGAACGGAAATCGCCGGATATATAGCCGCGGCATACGACGTAAAACTATAAACGACGAGTGCTGTATTATTATTGCTATTATTAGGTACGATGGCATTCGATTTGACTGTCGTTCAAATTTCAACGAGAAATACGCCTAACCGTCGCGGTCGTATAGGAAATATTATAATGTAATAATGATAATAGTCATTACTCATAATCAAATTAATATAGTCATATATACATAGGCCTAGTGTCTACTACTGGTTGTACACGCACAACCTGCAGCGAAATTTTACAAGACATATACGACGTGTAAATGTGATATCAATAATGTTGCGGCGGCGGTTTCTTTTGAGTAATAATAATTTTTTTCCAAATCCATGTGTCAAATAGCATGTATTATCAAGCTTGTGCTACACGACATGAGTATAAAGTCTAGATAAGCTATGACCATATTATAGACTCAAAGACTAGCCCTGCCTATATTACTAACCAGGGACTGGAACCTCACCGAAAAGAACCGGTTTTGGAACCGGAAGCCTTTGAATATTGGGAACCGAAACCTCACCGAAGTCATTATTTAAATTAATTTAAAACCAGAACCTTACCGGAACCGATACTTTTACTTAACACATATTTTTTAAGTATAAGTATAAAACCAAAACAAGTAATACATTTTTTATTTTTTAAGAACCAAAAATAAACCGAAACTTTATTTTTAGTTTTTCTAGGAACCGAACAGGAACCGGAACCGTAAAAATCTTCAAGGTTCCTGTTACTAACATTATAATATGTGTCGAGATAGAATGGAGGTTAAGTGATGAGAGACCGAAATCTGACCGATGCACGCACTGAGAGTTATATGATATTATATTATATTATTATTATATAGTTATTTACTATACTTTATAGTTTATACTACCACCAGCTATCGTGGATCCAATTTGAATCCACAAGGCTGGTACATGGTCCATAATATTATTATGGTCTTAACCACAGTTGGTGCGGTCATGACAATGCTGTGTCTATATGTGCACGCAATGTTTGTATATCTGTGACGAAAAATAATAAATCTACGTCACGAATTGAGATAAACTAGATATATATGGTTAATCTTAGTTTATGAAGTACGCGTATATCGTTTCGTATAATATTATAGTTATAGGTTTATCGTGCGATATGTTAGCTTGGCAGCAAAAGGGTCTAAGGGGACGTTTGTTTTTCTTTATACCCCAATATTAATTTCTATGTTTTTTACCACCTACCGTTGTAGATCGATTTCATGAACATTGAACATTTATTTCAACCCGATTGTATGAGACAGTACATAAATAATCATGCCAGTGTTATATTAAGCCTGTATTTAAAACAGAAAAAAATGAATCGATTATCGAGGAAATAATGATGATGACGTCTGATAAGCCAAGTTTTAGTATTGCTTATACGTAGGTACAATAATAATAACATTATTTTAACGACAACGACAATATTTTAATATCATTAGGTATTGTTATGTCTTGGGCAACAGAAAAAATAATTTGGTAGTGACACAGCACGCTCGGCCATCGCTTCGATGTTATCATCGTCATCGATGATACGTGTCCAGCAAGCAATAACCATGTCACACGAGTATAATAATATAATGTATATTGTATTCCCCTTTATATTATTATACATTGAATATTATTATTGTCTTGTGAAACGACTAAAATAATAATGAAAATAATCATTGGAACAATAGAAAAACGAAATAACACATTTTCCCGAGCTGCAAATATAAAGGACAGGTCACCTACATAATATAATAACAATATAGAATACGACGATGACGACGAAGAAGAGAGAGAGATACCGACCAACTACTGTTGTAGATAGCTACGAAACACCCGTTTGGAGTGCCGCTGAATACTGGCATTTCATTTCACGTGCCGGATCGATAGACGGAAACAAACAATTCGATAAATTTTTATTTTATACGGGATGATGGGGCGAGCGTGGGGTGTATAATCCCGACGCCGCCGCCGCCG